TTTCGCTCACTGAACATGTCCAAGAGCTTTCCCCGAAGTAGGACCGGACCACAAACCGTTACGACACTTTTCACGAAACTTAATCGCAGTAGTAGCATCGACGGAGCCACTCTCGAATCTGATGGGAACATATATAGTTTAGATATACACTAGTGATTATACTACTAGTAATAACTGTAAACACCCGTTTTACGTGAAGTGGCGTAATACTCCATGTGAAAAACGCGATATGAAGTGAATTGAAAACACTTCGCGAATCATCTCATATGACGTAAAACAGATCGAGTGTTTTACGCGATATTCACTGCTCACATGCGTTTTTCGCCAAGTGAAATGCAAATGTGTTATTCACTAGTGTTTTTCATATCACGGGTGAAACTCCATGATATGTGTAGACTTATGTTTTAATTTTAACATGAAAATTTAAACGGTGATGATAATAATAATAAAATCGCTGAAAAATAAATGGTTAAAAATTAAGATCTACGAATTGCCATTCCCATTTAATGACAGTTTCATTCAACGACGTAGAATTGCAATTTCCGAAAATGAAAAAATGAACACATTTCGAGTAACATATTTAGTTTGAATAACGATTATAGATGGGGAAAATTGACCGAAAGAATAAATTTTGACACAAACGATTTTACGCAACATGAAATTAATAAACTTATTGTTGTTTCACCCTAGTGATATGAAAAATATATTTCACGACTACTGTATATCACCGCGAATATCGCGTTTTTCACCGAGTTTTACGACGCCACTTCACGTAAAACTGGTGAAACTCCATCACCTCAGTTTTATTTCTTGAATAGCATCTCTCGTCCTCTCCAATGCTTTATTTTCGTCCAGGGTGAATTCATTGTCATTGGAATATTCCCATTTTGCGGTTTTTTCATCAAAAATTGCATTTCCGATCGCTCCGTCGTAACCCGTTTTAAACTGCCACGTCTGCTCGGGAGGCATTTAGATGTGTAAACGCGAACTACGTTAAAACGAGTATTAACTAGATTTGTTCATTTACTAGTTATAATGGAGTTTCACTCTTTTTACGCTCGAAGTGGCGTCGTAAAACTCGGCGAAAAATTCGCGGTGATATGCAGTAGTCGTGAAATATATTTTTCACTAGTGTTTTTCGTATCACTAGGGCCGCCCGGGAAACTCAAATGATATCACGCAAAAATGAAATATTATGTTACATATAGTTAGTTAATTTTATGCGATAATGACAAATACATAATGGAGTTTCACCCGTTTTACGTGAAGTGGCGTAATACTCCATGTGAAAAACGCGATGTGAAAGTGAATTGAAAACACTTCGCGAATCACCCCATATCACGTATCGCGTGTTTTACGCGTTATTCACTGCTCACATGCGTTTTTCGCGAAGTGAAATGCAAATGCGGTATTCACTAGTGTTTTCATATCACGGGTGAAACACTGTTCGTAAATACACGGCAGCATTTACTCTCTCCGTTTAGGAAGGATTGTAGATCAACTTCGTAATGATGATCATGATAAGAGCATTGGAGACGGCAGCACATGATCTGTTATTGGAAAAATATCTTTTGTGCATGCGTGCATTATATAATTTTGTGGCGCGCGAGAATTGTAAATGTACTCGTTTGACTGCTGTTGCCATCAGCCAGCCAAGGATTGGACCTACACTCTACTGCTGGGCAAGGAAAAGCAGGGTTCGATGACTTTACCGAGGGTCTGATGCGAGAAGATATGAGGACGCTAGGTGAAAAATTAGAGCCACAAGTAGCGTGCTGCTTCGCAACATGGCACTGCCGTGATAGCAATTAACTTGTGATGCACATTTCAATCTTGAAGACCGAGTTATTAATGATTATGTTACGGCTCTTGGTGCTTCATATCTACTAATCTATCTAGCAAGCTAGATGATATTATTGTGTCACCTCGGTGCCCACGACGTAGGGAAATTTCGTGGTAATCACTCCGCTTCAAAAATTGTATTTTTAGAATAAAATTCCGAATTTATTATTTATGTTGCGACATGGTTTCGTTTCCCCATCGATTTCGTGAAATCGATCATTAACCTTTTCACTTCCGTTCGCCTCAGAATCAAATCGTTTGTGTTACCACGCCTTGCAGTGTAGTAATATGCACATGGTCAACTCCATGTGTTGGTGACAATATGAAAATTCTGAGAGGAAATTCTCATTGGTTTCTATCCACTTCTACCCGAATTCGTATATAAACTCCCAAGCTCAGGTGAGGAAAGCGAACATCTGTTCTTCCAAGACTCATTCCTTGGAATTTTCTCACTTATGCGATTTGGTGTAGCTATTCGAAATTGGTGAAAAAGTTCAAAAATTCATTTTCTGCTGTTGTTGTTGTTGAAGTTAGTTTTCACTTTAGATGTTTCAAAATCATCTAAATTGATAATTTCATTTTTTAAAGTTTGTTAAAAGAATACACTTTTCGATATTCAACGGTGAAATTATTTTTTTCGAGTTCCTTCTAAGAGTTTTCCGATCGATATTTAATGTCATGTTTTCGGTCGAATTTTCCACATTTTAGTTTGGTGCTGAATCATCTGTCCGAGGTGACTACAAAAAAAATTCGTATCGAAATAGCTGTGACTTCCTATTCATTTGGAAATTTCCTTTTCAATTATGTATTCATTTCAAACTGTCCCCTTAAATTTGCGCTTTTAAAAAAAATGTATTTATTTCTGATTTCCCCCATAATTTTGTATTTTTTTCAAATTTTTTTTTCATTTAAGAACCCTTGTAGATCGATTCGCGTCTCATCCTCGGAAAATGCCCGTCTGAATTGGGTCGTCTTATATTCATTCCAGATTTTTAATTAACAGCAGCATTGAACAATAAAGGATGTTCGGTTGGAATTGAACCTGGGTTATTCTCATGTAAACTTCGAAGCATAACATGTTGAGGTATGACTACTGCTTAGTTTGTTTAGTGTAATAATGAGTACTAGTGCCTCCATCGGTGGTAAGACTTCAAAGGCTCGTGTGACCAACAGTAAAGGCAAGATGGAAGATCTCACAGTCCTCACTTATAATGTTGATACTGCTATCAAGGATATGCCTCAACGCATTAAAATACTCATTGAGGTATTATTGAAGTTTCACCACCCTAGTGATATTAAAAACATATTTCGCGACCACGGCATATCACCGCGTTTTTCACCGAGTCCTGCGCTACCACTTCGCGTAAAACGGGTTGTGAAACTCCATTACCCTACGAGGGAATCGCTTGCGCGATTTTCAATAGATCTCTCCTGCGCTTAAGCATCGAGTTTTACATGTGAAATCATGCCTACGTTGTTGGAATCAGGGCAAACATGATGTTTTTCGCGATTTGAATTTTATAGAGTTTTCAGTAAACTTGAGCTTCTGAGCTTCGACAGTGTTCATATTACGCGTATTATTATGATATTGGGGTTTCAACTGTTTAACGTGAAGTGGCGCGATGCTTGCTGTAAATTTAAAACGTATGTGTTGCCGTGATTGATAACACTAATTGTTTTACGTGAAGTAAGTTGTGAAATACATTTTTCACTAGTGTTTTGTTTTTTAAGGGTGATTTACTCGTTAAAGGATATTGGACTTTTACCCTGGGTGAACTTCGGCATTTTATTGTTTCAACAGTGTAGATTTGGGAGGAAAATATGCGCAAGGTCAACTACATGTGTTGGTGATAATATGAAAATTATGAGGAAATTTCGGGAAATTGTTGTTGGTTTCTGTACATTTCTACTCTCATTAGTGAGGAAACTCTCCTGGGCTCAGCTGAGGAAAGCGAACATATATTTCGCCAACATTTTATTAAAAACATGATATATATTAGCTTCCTTGACGCGAAAGTTATATGTCTTTTTTGTAAACGAAAACTTTTACTTTCGCGTACTGACGATTTTTCCGTAATCAGATCTCCCACGCTCGTGAGTGATTCTATATTTTATATTTTTCTCGCGAAATTTAGTAAAGTTTCGAGCAATTCATAAACTTTTATTTTTCTAGGTACTCCAAAATCGTGATTATGATGTTGTTTGCCTCCAAGAAGTATTCGCCAGCGCTTCCAAAGAGGCAATCGTTAATGGGCTTGAAAATCAATACTATGTACTGAAAAATTCATAATTTTTTGAGGAAAATTTTCCCCTTTTTTTCAGATTTTGTCCGCCGATCACAACGCGCCGTTCTATCCTTTCCAGTCGTTTTTACCATCAATGTTGCTCACCATCATCGCTAATGCTTTCCCATCGTAATAATAGGGGGGGGGCGGCTGAGATTTGAACCGGATACCTTGTCGTTGTTGGCAGTCTCCACTAACTTGCTGAGGTATTAAGTGTGAAAGTACGACTTTCTCGGTTTCCCACGAAATGTACATCTGATTCTTTCATTGTGTAATAATTTAAGTATTGGCTTTGCTGATGTTTTCATGCGAATTACGGTATCCATTTTCAGTGGATTTTGACGTATATGAATCGATCGGTATAACTGATGGTTTTTGTTCAGAATTCTAAGAGCGCTGGCGTTCGTTGTCGCAATCTTGCTCTGTCCCCCGGTGATGAGATTAATATCACAATATGTAAGTTGGAATGGTTCAATGGTATCTCTGGTGGTTTTCATTCTAGAGGTATGGGGTTCGATTCTATCTCAGGCAGTTTGGGAATGTATGCGCATGGTCAGCTACATATGAGGAAATTTTTGAGAAATTCTTTTTAGTTTCCGTAAACTTCTACCCGAATTCGTATGTTAACTCCTAAGCTCAGCTGACGAAAGCGCACATATATTCCTCCAACATTGTTTTTATCATAATAATGTGCTCTCTGGGATTCGAACCTCTGCGGATCTATGCTGCTCAGGTTTTCCATTGTCTACAATACGCCAGCGGCTTCCATAGTGAAGGACGTTCTCAACCGTTCGACTACATGGGCCTCACCATTTTGCTCAATAAAAAGAGATTCAGTGATGCTAAGGTGGGCATAAATGTCGCACTTTAATATTAAAATTGACCCCATACTGTGAGCGTCAGAAAGGGTCACTATCGTTCTTCGTGCGCCACCCGAATTTTGGCGTGTGTATTAATTATGATGTTGGCCGTATTTGATTGTAGAGCTCTCAACCATCACTGACTGTGTGTAAAGACTCTCCAAAGTTGGATAATTACCCGCGGCCTTTTTTACCATACTAAACTTATTCTCCAGCATTCTACTCGATGTTCAAGACAAAACTCATTGGCATGATGAGAGTAGACAATTTGAAAGGCTAAAGCTCATCCCTCGGCAGCTAATGTGCATCGATGCGAGTCTAATTAAGCCGTGTTGTCGTAGTAGGCGTTGGACTTTAAACTCTCACACAGTCGACGTTCGAAAGTGCGCACGAAGGTTTGGGAGATCATTTTTTAATTTGAGTAGGTCGAATGCGCTGAGCCCTTCCAAGTTCAAGGATATACAGCTCCGGTAACAGGCTTAGGTTGGATATGGTTGTGGGTAAGAGATTCCGTCACGCGCCACAAAATTATGGTCTCAGTAGGTTGAATGGACTTTCCTTCGTCCGGGTTACCTCATAGTTTCTGGTGAGCTCACTGGTGCTGCCGGTCAAACATTGACTATAGTGGACCTCCATTTTGTGCTGGGGAGGGAAGGGGATTGTATTAACCCTAACAGGAAGGCGCAGGCGGATGAGATCCTTTGGGCTGTGGATCAGTAGGTCCCGGGTTCGATCCCTGGTGGGGGCATTTTTCTAACTTAAAGTTACTCACCTAAGAATTCACAAGTGATCCTCTGTGGTGATCTCAACTGCTCGACATTCAGCCTCAACGAGGAAGATATGGAGTCCGTCGAGTTGATGGTAGGAATATCTTTGTACATGCGTGCTAAATTATTGTGTCGGCTGTCCCCCTGTCAGATGTTCCATCGCAATGGATACCAAGATGCGCTGAAAGTCTTCAACCCTGAGGCGGGTCGACTCCCCAACGATCAAATGCGCGAAGTCATACCAAAGCTTTCGAAGCCCGGCATAAATCTGAAGAAGCTGAGAAAAAATCACAAGTCGATGAGAAGACAAATAAAACCGCCGAAAACGACGAATTCATCGAAACCGAAGTTGCTGATGATGAACCGAAGATTCAAGCAATCAGTGATGATGAAGTTCCCCTTGTCCCTAAGGGTGATGGCGTTGAGGAAAAGCAAGATTGCAAGAAATTGGAAAAGATCAACTCGGAAGTGGAAGGATCTTTGGAACGCCTGAAAATGCCGCTCACTTGGGACGGGGTGAAAAATTTAGAAATTTTGGAAATTTATATTTTTTTCGCTGACAGGTGAATAATCCGTCGACGCGATTGGGCGACCCTGGCGCTGAGTTGCGATGTGATTATGTTTTCCTGAAGGACGCGCCCGAACCGGAACCGAGAACGATCAAGTTGGAGGAAAAGGAGGTGAATCTTGTGTGCATGCGTGCAAGATATTTTACTCGGTGGTGTTGGTGGACATGTGAGAAAGACGTCTCGAAATTCGTGATTTTCATGCTATTGTCTTGTCTTGAGCACAGCGGAGCGAAGCGTTTCACGAAGTGCATTATCGACATACTTGTCAGATGCGGGTCGTGTTCGATGGGTTGACTAGTCCGGCTGATGGTGTTGCTCCTTTGCCTATCATCTCTGATCACTATGGAGTTCAAGTAAGTCCCTCCATTGAGCTCCCCAAGGCATCGTTTGGTTTTTTAGGTGTCCTTTAGATTAAACAGGGTTCAGCCGTGATCACACCGGATGGGAGTTTCTGTGTAGTTGTTGTTGCTCCGAAGCATCAAAGACTGATAGTTCATCATAATTTACTCTGAGTCGGATTGCGTTGATTCGCCAAGTGTAGAATCTTCCCTGTGCGGGAACCTGGACCATCACATACGGGCGCTCAGTGAGCATATGGATCATCATACATATAGGAGAGTAGATGCAAAGAATCAACCATGATGAGTATAGTCTGTACAAAGCACTCAGTTATGGGGGAATTTCGTGGCACAGTGAAATTTTTACTCGTGTTGACACGCAAGTGTCGTTACCCGTATAGATACCACAAGCCTTCGAGTGCATCAGCTTAGATATGGGTAGATCATCATCACTGTAGCAAAGACGTCTAAATCATCATAGAGATATTCAGGGCCGTATTTGTGTAGTTCTTGGTGGTTACACAGAACCTCAAGTTTCTGAGTTAAGGCACGGAGTTGCAGCGTTCGGTTGACTGTACGTAGGTATTAGATATGATCGGTGAAGTGAAGATATACGGCAGGAAATGTCATCTTTTATCGCTAGAAAAACTTGTGAGGAAATGTGTTATGCTTGGCCTCAGAAACCAACAGCCTGCGTGTGAATTTACACCCATGAAAAGGCGCTTTGTCTGATGCTCAGAGAACGCGGAGTTATCATTCATTGGATGCAGTCCATCATCTAGACGAAAGGGACGTTACGTATGACATTGTGATAGTGATTGTAACAACCCAGTGTGGAAACTACTTGCATGAGGAAAGCCAGGACTCGCCATTGGTTGTGATGAGAGGAAACGATCGTGACAAAGGAGGCCTCATATACTCCCATCCCTGGAGAGTAAAACTGGACGAAAATGAGTTGTTCGGACAGATTCGAGCTGTTTCATTGGGAAATTGATTCCTGATTGCTGTGAAACACTCCGTATTGAGCGACAAAACCGGGACACTTCTCCGTGACTCAATAGTCATGGTTGTTAGAAACTACTCTGGAACACACTCATAAATGATTGAAACCCTTTACATGTAGCAACACCAACGCATTCCAGCAGTCTGCCGACAACGTCGAGTTTCCATCAAGCCACCAGCGGCTCTTCTTGAGCGACTTCGGGAGCTGATGCCTCCCTGGTCGACCTCGACGCACTGAAAAGGTAGACGTCAATTATCCCATCCCCTCACAATCTCGTACGAGGCGAGCAAACACATCGAGTGGAGAGACTGCATCAACGGTGGATTACCCTGTAGCAGTAACAGACGAGATAGGAGGCTGCTCAAAATCTCCATCGGCTAAGAATTTACGTAGGTAACCCTGGAAGTCTGTATATACGGTTGGTGGTAACGCAGTACCATCCACCTCGGTAAGCAAAGGACCCTGAAAGTATAAGGAGTTACAATACAAGATACATCTCATTAGGCAGGTACATACAAAAGCTACGTAATCTGTATGTAGGGGCCTTACCCCAGCGGTCGGTAGGGAGACTCGGGCAGTCGCATTTCCAGCGCGCGCAGAGAGCTCAGCAGTCATCGTGGAGTTATAGTGACACTGCTCAACCTCGCCGAACTTCGCACCCTGAGGAGTACCACAGGAATCGACGACAAGCAGCATTGAAAGGGAAGGGAGATCAATTCAGTTCCCATTAGTGATGAACAGTTCACATCAGCATAGACTCCTCGGTATTACAGGAGGATGAGCGAATTAAACAGTAGATGTTTCAACAGACAAGTTCAGTGTTGGAATATATGTTTGCTTTCCTCAGCTGAGTCCTCACTAATTTCAGAAATCTACATACGGATTCGGGTGTAAATGTACTTGACCCAATGAGAATTTTCTCGATTTTCCTCAGAATTTCCGCAAATGTCACCTACACATGTAACTGAACATATGCATATTTTCCCACACCGGATAAGTTAGAGGTAGGAGAGTACATCTTACTGTAAAGGCAGGGATCGCGCCGATACACCCAGCGGCAACGGCTTCCAATTGGTACTGGAACTGAGCCACGAATACAAACACAGATTTGCAATGGACGAGACCTCACCCAAAATGCTGTGACATTATCGAAATTCTGAAGCCTGTCAGTCATGCAGCCAACGGTAGCCAAAGCAGCGCCAGGATCCTTATGGAAAGCATCTGAGCTTAGATGCGACGACAATCGGGAAGTAATTGCTCACCAATAACACAACGCTCGTACGCGTTGAGTGCGCATTCGGATACTCCGTGAATACAAGTAGCTCCACCTCCAATGGTGGGCACCGTGCGGCCGTAGGGGACCAGAGATATGTTGAAGTTGACGAACCTGATTCGAGGTCAATCAGAGACGGATCCGATTCTTATCTACCTTTGGAACACGGACAAAGCGGGGTTGAGCTGCTCAGTGATGAAAGTGACGCTAGCGGGGTCTAGAGAGCCGTAGTATCTAGGACTAGTCCTCGCGATGCAAAGTATATTATGGCCTTACAGATTGAGAGAAATGGTCGGTCGGCAAACCGGCGGCATCGCGTAGCTGTTGTTCTTCAAATAACCACATACATATCCTTTGAAATCAGCGTAAACATCAGGGAGCTGATGCCCCTTAACGTCGGTGAGCCAGGGGACGAACTGTGGACGGCCAACAGTGAAAAGAGGAATAAATGATTAACAGAGAGAATACCTGCTTAGGAGGGTCGAGGCTCTCAGTCTCCTTCTTGGCGGCTTCCTCGAGCTTCGCAGACCTTTCGGGGGAAGTGTAGCAGCGGTGAACTTCGCCCAATCTCGCAGCCTAGACGGAATGGTGGGGGATTATCGGGCAGATCGAATAATGGTACATCGAAGTGTGTGCCCTCCTTTACGCACATTACACCGAAGGCTCCCATGGGTGCCTGAGCAGAAACCGTACGGCTCGATGAGGCATCTTATCCTACGTGGTCCATGCCGGTGAAGTTATAGTTCTTGAAGGCCTCCTCCATGCAGAGGATGGCGGGGAGATATTTGGCAGGATCGTAGTCAAGGACGTCTATAGTGAAGTTATCAAATATAGTAGAATAGGTGGAGCTACCAATGATGCATCGATGATAGGCGTTTCCTTCGCACTCGATTGGGCCGTGTTGACATTTACCATTGCGGACGTTACCGTAAGGGATTAATTCCAAATCCAAATCGACGAATCTGAGAGGACATCTAATTACGCCACTTATAGCAAATCTGACTCGGCCGTCTCCGGATCATCGACGATGGGGGCGACTTGATCGACCATGAACCTCTGACAGTACGGACAGAGGGTCTCGTAGAACCTGATAGAGAAGGTGGGACGGTGAGGGAGAGAAAGAGTGTACAGCTTGAAATGAAGGGTCGGAGGGGTCGGTCTTGAGAGGACGAGAGAGACGATGGCTGAGATGATGGAGATGATCTTCATCATGGAAAACTATCGGATCTCTCGAACTGGCAGCACATACGTTGATGTATAAATTTGAAACTTGCCAACAGATTCATACCCCAATGAAGAGGCTGCGCCACATCCGGTTACAGCCGTGGTTGCAATGCACTCCCAGTAGATCCTGCACGCATACGCAGGAGGAAAATCTTACTCATGCGTACGATGAAGATACCACCATGATTCCAAACGTTACTCCACCAAGGTCTATTTTAGGGTGGCATAGTTGCCCCACTTGAAGGAATTTACTCCACTAAGGTCTATTTTAGCGCGGCATAGTTGCCCCACTTGAAGGAATTTACTCCACCAAGGTCTATTTTAGGGCGGCATAGTTGCCCCACTTGAAGGAATTTACTCCACCAAGGTCTATTTTAGGGCGGCATAGTTGCCCCACTTGAAGGAATTTACTCCACCAAGGTCTATTTTAGGGCGGCATAGTTGCCCCACTTGAAGGAATTTACTCCACTAAGGTCTATTTTAGGATAGCATAGTTGCCCCACTTGGAGAAATTAACTCCACTGAGGTATATTTTAGCGCGGCATAGTTGCCCCACTTGGAGGAATTTACTCCACCAAGGTCTATTTTAGGATGGCATAGTTGCCCCACCTGGAGGAATTTACTCCACTAAGGTCTATTTTAGGATAGCATAGTTGCCCCACTTGGAGAAATTAACTCCACTGAGGTATATTTTAGCGCGGCATAGTTGCCCCACTCGGAGGAATTTACTCCACCAAGGTCTATTTTAGGATGGCATAGTTGCCCCACCTGGAGGAATTTACTCCACTAAGGTCTATTCTAGGGTGGCATAGTTGCCCCACTTAAAAAATTTACTCCACTGAGGTCTTTTTTAGGGTGGCAGGGAACTCTTATTTATTAATTAACCGTGAGGAACTTGAAAGCAGTATCTACAGCTGACGATATGACTCATAACTTATGAGTGCAGTACAGTAAATTGATAGGGAGTGGAGGTAACGTGGCGCTCCTACTTGAGTGCTAATTTCTTCATGATTATTGTGATACACTCCATGCTATCGATAGAGAGGAGGAGTGGTCTCCTTGATTTTGTACTGGGTTTGCATTGGTATTTTACACGTGCTCACGATAACCTGATCGGTAGTGCGTCCTATGATATGTATTTTTGATCCCGCATCACTGATTCGGAACGGTGGCAAGTCATCTCTCAGGGTAACGTTTTGAACTACTACTGGCAGCGCCGCCCGAGTATGACTTGCTCAAGACGTTATCAATTCAGTTGTCCCAAGTTATTACAGCGTGCGCCGCAATTGACCTCGCTCTTGCTCAAGCTGAGCAGCCATACTTGCGAGTTTTGGGAGATAATACGATGTTAGTCACAAAACGCAACAAAGCCTCTCCTAATGAGAGAGTAATCGGAAAATGTGATGACCGAGCACGCTTTTGAACAAGCTCAGGAGCCGTATTCACAAATTGGGACTCTGCCATGAAATAATGAAATGTTGAACCCGCTCGAAAAATTAAATTGAATACCCTCTGGACGACAGTGTTCCTGCTGCCGAGTCTCGAAACTGGGTAGTTGTTTTCCATCAAAAACCCGCAGATATAACCCCTGAAGTCGAACGTAATGTGAGAGCACTCGTAGGTTGAGCGGATCGCTTGGATCTGCCCTTGGGAAACAAACAGAGCGGGATTGAGATGTCGTCTCATCTAGGCATAGCTCTCGCGCTTCATAGACATTGCTCCCTCAAAATTGAGGGAAATGGTCGGTCGGCAAACCGGCGGCATTGCGTAGCTGTTGTTCCGTAAATAATCACATACATATCCTTTGAAATCAGCGTGAGCATCAGGGAGCTGATGTCCCTCGATATCGGTGATCCAGGGGACGAACTGTGGACGGCCAACAGTGAAAAGAGGAATAAATGATCAACAGAGAGAATACCTGCTTAGGAGGGTCGAGGCTCTCAGTCTCCTTCCTGGCGGCTTCCTCGAGCTTCGCAGACCTTTCGGGGGAACTGTAGCAGCGATGAACTTCGCACCATGTTGAAACCTAGACCGGACGGTTGGGTATCGAATAGCAGATCGAATAATGGTACATCGAAGTGTGTGCCTTCCTTTACGCACATTAGACCGAAGTGTCCCATGGGTGCCTGAGCAGAAACCGTATGGCTCGATGAGGCATCTTATCCTACGTGGTCCATGCCGGTGAAGTTATAGTTCTTGAAGGCCTCCTCCATGCAGAGGATGGCGGGGAGATATTTGGCAGGATCGTAGTCAAGGACATCTATAGGGGAATCACCAGAGGTACCAATGGAGAAGGGGAGCTACCAATGATGCATCGATGATAGGCATTTCCTTCGCACTCGATTGGGCCGTGTTGACATTTACCATTGCGAACGTTACCGTACGGGATTAATTCCAAATCCAAATCGACGAATCTGAGAGGACATCTAATCATGCCACTTATAGCAAATCTGACTTGGCCGTCTCCGGATCATCGACGATGGGGGCGACTTGATCGACCATGAACCTCTGACAGTACGGACAGAGGGTCTCGTAGAACCTGATAGAGAAGGTGGGACGGTGAGGGAGAGGAAGAGTGTACAGCTTGAAATGGAGGGTCGGAGGGATCGATCTTGAGAGGACGAGGGAGGCGATGGCCGAGATGATAGAGATGATCTTTATCATAGAAATTTACCGGATCTCTCGAACTGGCAGCACATACGTTGATGTAAAAATCCAGAATTTTTCAATGGAATCGAGCTCAAATGGAGAGGCTGAGTGACCTCCGGTTACAGCCGTGGTTGCAGTGCAGTCCCAGTAGATCTTGCACGCATACGCACGAGAAAAAGCTTACCCATGCGTACAGGGAAGATCCAACTGCAAATCCAAACGAAGCCTTCCTGTGTCGATAACTTACTCTTTTGTGATTTAAGGGAACACTTGTGACCAAGATTCATGACGAAGGTTAAAGCGGCGATTTTGAGTCCGACCCCGATAATTGCAAAATCTCTTATTTAAAGACATTTTGGAAATATTCCCCTCAAATATTCCCCTCATTATGTTAAGGTCCATTTCGGGGTGGCATAGTTGCCCCACTTGGAGAAATGTGTTCCGCTAGGGTCTATTTCAGGGTGGCATAGTTGCCCCACTTGAAGAAATTTAATCCACTGCGGTCAATTTCGGAGTGGCATAGTTGCCCCACTTGAAGAAATTTATTCCACTGCGGTCAATTTCGGAGTGGCATAGTTGCCCCACTTGAAGAAATTTGTTCCGCTAGGGTCTATACCAGGGTGGCATAGTTGCCCCACTTGAAGAAATTTATTCCATTGAGGTCTATTTCAGGGTGTCATAGTTGCCCCACTTGAATATATTTATTCCACTGCGGTCAATTTTGGAGTGGCATAGTTGCCCCACTTCCAGAAGTTTATGTTCGACAGCGGCCTGAGCAGTAGCTCGTGATGCTCGGTCACTTGAGTTCCCAGGAAGCAGTCCTTATTCGAGTCAAAAGAATGATTGGTTAGCCCCCTTCCACCACAGCGGGTGAAGCATTCACTCGAACGCAATCCTCTGTGATGCAGCGCAACGTGAATGATTCACAGGGTTTCAGACGCAATCTATTTTGATAGCTAAGAGCTGAGGTTTATCATCGAAAGGTGAAAGCTCATGGACTAACCACTCCTCTTGTCTTGCTAAGCCGATGAAAAGCTCGAGCGGCTCGTCATTAGCATCCTGTTTGATCTCACAGGTTGCCCGATCTCGGTAGACCGAATACCTGATGAGAACTGCATGATGTGGAAGGTGAACCACGTGGGAGGAAATAATGACTCACACAAACCGGGTCGCATCGCCATCTATGGGACCCGATGACCGCGGCTCACCGTTTCTCATGGCCCAATAGTATCGTCCCTCCAGGCTTCACGAAAGTTCGACAGGCAACAAAAACATCTTTAGCGAGCTTCGTAGAGAACAGCATGTCGCTTGCGATAAGATAATCGAACCTATCAAAACCTCAATGAGACAATGTGACGAAACAAGTTATTGGGAGGAATTCATCGACCGATGATCGCGATTGGACGCTACATGCAGGGCCTACCTCTCATCAAAATTCACGATTTTTGATACATCGAGGACTGCAGTTGCTACACGGTCAGCCACACCATTCAATTTGGCGTTTTTCTGGACCATGGCCAAAGCAGATTCGGAAACATCAGTCAACACCTGCGCTTAGCATATTCGAGAAGGGCGCACCGATCACGAGCAATCCCCATGCTCACCACTCGCTTTGCCCCTGCCTGTTTGGCACAGAATAAGCCTGCCAATCCTTGCCCACAACCTATCTCTAGAACGGTAGAGCTCCTGAGGGAATCCGAAAGTCGGTTAGATTCACAAAGAAAGTCACATCAGCGCCGCTAAAGGTTATGGCATCTATCTGCCACACGACTGATCCGGGTGCAATTCCCGGAAGGCGTAATTTTGCATACAGTCTCCAGTCACGTGAGCGCAAGAAGAATTCCCTGTTGCCTGCTCATTATCACCACTAACATTAGTTCCTAACCCAATCGCATCAGCAGCCAATCGAACCATGACAGTCCAAACGTTCGAGACGCAAGTTCTAGAGGCAATCAATCACCTAATTTCTGGAAGCTCAGTAACCAACCAGCACAGTGCTCTGGTGGCTCCTATCCACACCGTCTCATAAGTTGCATCGGGATCACTCGTATCTTCATGCGATATACTTCCTCCCAAATCCGGCTCGTGAAGTAGCCGACAGCCTGGAGTTAACTCGACTTCTCGTGGCATTCAAGAGTTAGCTACGTCTGGGTCTTGTCAATATGTCACTACAACTTGTTTCATTTGAGGGGTGAAATTCTATGCTACTTGCACTCGAAAAACGCAACACCAGAAGAATGGAAATGACGCTGTGGATAAGCTACATGAGGAACGCAGCGAATTCAAGGCAGACATTGGATTCACATTCGGCCCTTGTAAGGGAACCTCTGGGTGTACCTGATACACATTGCGTCCGCTTTGACTGATGGGATTGGATCAAGCCATTTTTCATATATTAATGCAATTTTCCCAGCTCGGAAAATTAGATTGAATAATATATCTAGACGACGGGGGTCCTGCTGCAGAGTCTTGGAACTAGATAGTTGTTTTCCATCCATAATTCACAGGTGTAGCTTCTGAAGTCAAACCTAATGTAAGAGCAATCGAAGGCGAAGCGGATTGATTTTCATCTGCTTAGGTGGCAGTGCGCTCGCACTCGCGGTAGATCCTGCACGCATACGCACGAGAAAAATCTTACCTATGCGTACGCAGTACGGGAAGATCCCACCGCGAATCCAAACGGAGCCTTCCTGTGTCGGTAATTAACCGTTTACTCCTTTGTGATTTAAGGCCACACTTGTGACCAAGATTTATGACGAAGGTTAAAGCGGCGATTTTGAGTCCGACCCCGAGAATTGCAAAAGCTCTCATGTAATGGTGGCATAGTTGCCCCACGCGGAGAAACCTATTTCATTAAGGTCTACAGTAGGGTGGCATAGTTGCTCCATTTGGAGAATCTTATTCCACCGAGGTCTATTTTAGGGTGGCATAGTTGCCCCATTTGGAGAATTTTATTCCATCGAGGTCTATTTTAGGGTGGCATAGTTGCCCCACTCGGTGAATTATATTTCATCGAGGTCTATTTTTGGGGTGGCATAGTTGCCCCACTCGTAGGAATTTATTCCACCGAGATCTATTTTAGGATGGGATTATTGACAAAGCAATAGCCCATTTGTGCGACCTTGGCTGAAGCTTCATAAATTAACTTATCCTATGAAGAACTTGAAGGGTTATCTACAGCAGACGTTATGAGTACAGTAGAGTAAATTGATACGGAATGGGGATGAAGTGGGGCATGCTTGGGTTCTTATTTCCATGGGAGAGAAACACAATACGGATCCTTGGCGGAGAAATGCCCTAGCTGGAGGTCGCACCGTTGTATATAATGAGAGGAATTGCGTTGTAAGATACTGTTCTAATTCACGAGACTACGTCGCGGCACATGCAAGCGCGGCACAGTGCATCTGTATTTCCACCGGAAATGGTGCAGGATGGTATCATGTGAAGTGGTTCAATCACATCACAGAGCACTCCATTGAGAACTTTCTCGTTTAATGGCTGCCAAGGACATCCCTGCCGACCTCAAGAAGCAAATGCAACGGTCATTGGTGAAGGTGACCAAATGCGCGATTGTTCAAGCATAGCCAGATATTATCTTGTGTGATCTCAGCATACGGATATTGCGGGAGATACCAGGGGTGAAGTTGTGGACTTAATTGTGGGGGCGATCGATAAGCATGCCACCCCTGAAGGAGTCAACTTGGAGGTCACTAGGTGTTCTCCCTACACTCGCTACTGCCTCATTGTATGGGTCTCTCTTGTACATGTCCTGACTAGGATTCATGAATGTTGATGAAAGTGCTTCACCTGCTACTTCATAGCTAGTCTGTAGATGAGTACGACCATCGCTCATCGCGTAGCAATGGGATGTATAGCAGTTATCACTGACAAAATTTTCATGCAAACGAGAGGTGTTCAAGCAACCTGAGTTTCGTTACGAAGAATGTCGGAGCGAACACTAAAACGCTTGGTTCCACAACCACTACATCTCTCAGTGACTTCACACCTTCTGAGTCTTCAATTTGTTGGATCAATCGGAGTACGACGGTTTAATCCTTTTTCAGGCTGCAGCACAATTGATTAAAGATTCTCTCGATAAGCAATACGGTCTAGCGTGGCATTGCGTAATCGGCAAAGGTTTTAGTTACGACATCACTGCACAGGTGAGCCATAGATCGACTCGGAAGCTCGAAGTTGTCGACATCTGTTGTGATGAAGAATCGGCTATAGAGTTTTTGCTCAGAAGTGCTTACATTGTTTTTTCGGGAAAATGATGATCATTGAAAATCAACTTTTCGATCTGGGCATTTCAAATCTGTGGGAATGTGCTGTGCTCGGAAGCTAAGAGTTGTCTCCTTAGAACGGTTCGTTGATGCACTGCTTCTACCAAGGGGATATAGCCGTTTTGGTCTTCAAGTGCTGACAAACATGTATCGTGTTATAGCGATTGGTTCACATTTGTTGAGTTGAAGTTACTAAATTTGGAGGCTTTGCACTCACTCAGTCGATCTGTTTTATAGCTCACTTGGTCCGCTCTTGATTCAAGTATTGTTGTTGTGGTCATTTCCAACATTATCAAAGTTACTAAGGCTCTTCTGTGATATCCACTTTATAATAAAATTCATTACTCTGACAAACGGGGGCAGAGTATAATAAGAGACCCCTTTTTGTATCGAGACGGCTAAGAGTCCTGAATTATATCAACAATTTCTCTAATTTCCCCATAGTCTGACTACACTCGCAATCTTGATGATGCAAAGGCCATCGAACGGCCGTAGAACAGCGCCCGATTCCTCCTCTGCATTCCAAAAGAAGTTACGCTATAAACATTATCGAGGTGATCTAACCCAAATTCATCGACACGACTTGCCAGCCTAACAGAGCCTCTCAGGTTATCGTGAGATAAGGGGTACTGTCCAGTCTTGTACAAACTTGCACACTGCATCGGTTTTAATCAACGGATCTAACAAAGTGCGTTGATGGAAATTCTTCCAAGAGGCCCTCAGTCAGGGTGCTCCTGCTTCCTCCTCGTATTCAGCGCGGCCTTGGTCAGTCGGAGGATCAGGGCTGCATCCG